CTCCCCAGTCCCATATGGCGCGCAGACCTCTCCTGCCGCCCGCTGCTCCCCTCAGCAGTGTACTTCGGTCCTTCTGCCTGCTCTGCTCCCTGCTCTGGCTCTGGTGAATTCTCTCACCCTCCCGCACTTCTGACTGTACCCAGTGCATGTATAAACAAAACAAACAAACAAAATAAATAAATGAAAAAAAAAAAAACATGCCTCTATAAAAAAAAAATGCTTCATAAAATGAAGTTCTGTATAAAGCTTCAAATGAAGAAAGACTTTCATAATTTTTAAAACAGTCCTGTATACTAGAGAATACAGATAGCAAGATCTAGATGCTTATTTTGAGTACTCTGTTAACATTAAAATTTTTAAAAATTTTTAAGCAGGTGATTGATGCAGATGATACAAAATTTAAAATGCACAAGTGATAAACAGTGAAAAATAATCACCCTCCATGTGCCCCTCCCCTCAGATAGCTGATTTCCCTCTAGTTTCCAGGTGAAGTTTCTCACACATCCTACTAGAAAGAGCCCATGCACATCTAAACAAAGATGTGTATCTAGTCCTTTTAAAAATACCTAAAAGCGTAAGGCATTATACACTATTCTGCATATCACTTTATTGTACCAAAGATTTAACAGCGTTTGGACAAGGTTACTAAAATAAATGTTTCTTCAACTCACTAGTTTTTCACTTGCCAAATTAATGATAATATGCCATTTACCTCTGAAAGATAAAGAAAATATTGTACCACTAAAATACCTTTTCCCAGAAAAACCAGAAAAAGAAAATGCTGAATCCCACCATTGAATGATAGATTGAAAACTATAGATAGACTGAAAATTTTACAAATGGTGAATGAAAACATGCCCATGGAGTTTTATAACTGGTTTCAGGTTAGAAGACACTGGCAAAAATCACAATCTTTTGGGCGATTCTCTACATGGAATTCTGCTTCCCACTGTTGTAACCTTAACTCTACACGTGTATTAAATGCTTGTGAGCACTACCTTTAAAAGTTTAGCATGGCAGGGCTGGAGATCTCAGAGGTTATCTAAACAGGGGTGGCTCGTCCCTAAGCTCTTGTGCTGCCAGGATCTCAAGCTTCCAAGGACCATTTACTGGTTACTGCTCCCCACAAATTACCAGTGCTCCTTGGCTGTTGTTTCTAGTCAAGGCATCAAGACCACCCACTGGAGCCATTATTATTCTTTTCAGCTTCAGCTTTTTCTTTTCCAGGCAAAATGGTTTCTAACCTCTCCTGGCAAATTTTATTTTTCAACTTAATCATTTTTATGGGTGATGTGGAAATTCATTTCCCAAAGCTAGGCTGTATTTGTGGAGACCCTTTGGTTAAGAAACTGGTTAGTCTTCACTCTTCCTTCCATTAACCAACTATTTGAAAGAGGTCAAGTCCAGTTTTTCTCAGAGTCTGTTTCCTCAATTGTAGTAAGAATGTCAGACTGTATGATGTAAGGTCCCCTATAGATGCTTGAATTTGCAGGGGGGAAAGACAACATTATACTCCAATGTTGTTCTTTTAGAAAAAGAAAGTAAAATGCAAGAAAATAAGCTAACATTGGGATTTTATTATTTTTTTAAGGAAAGCAAAATATATATACATGCAAAGTATCAAAACACATGCATACCCTTAACTCCTGTAAGTGATGGCCAACGCAACCTCTAAAATCAGATTCCAACCCAATTTGTAGATGACTGTTCTCTGTAAGAACTGATATTTTAAATTACTGCCATAAGGGACTGCAGGATCTTAAATCATTGATGAAAATCTAACCATTTTCTCTATGCTCTAGGTCATAATGCAGGGAAAGTGCCCTGATACACTTTAGAGAACTAAAAGGATGCTCTTGTTAGCCAGATAATTCAATTAACTGGAACCAGCACTGTGGTAGAGCTTTTAGTGCTAAAAGAAGTACTTTAGATCTATTATTTACTGTAGGCATTCACATACCAAGCAACACACTAAGTGCTTTACAAGCATTTTCCTATTTAATTCTCACAATTTCTGAGAGAAAACAGTGATGGCTTCTTGCAGGAATCTCAAGGAAGTCTGATATAATCTATCTGAGTAACAAGTTATATGATACATCAACAGATTATGCTTTTGTTCATACTTAAATATACACATACATATAAACTCACAAAATGTTTTTTTCAAGTAATACTATTTATAAGAACAAGCAAACTAAAATTTTTAGGACAATTCTTAACAATTTTTTAAAGACAAAAATTTATTCCCAAACTCCTTAAGTCCATTATCAAATAGTTACTTTTCAAATCTATTGTAGCTGAAAAACACTTTTTCTAAAACAATTCTTCCCTGAATTTAAAGTCATACTAGCTTGCTCCAGAAAGACTGATCACTCATGTTCTCTGATGTGGGGAGATCTCTTACTCCTTCACACTTTTGAATAGTTATTTCACCACTGTTTCTTTGCCATGTACAAAAACCAGAGTACTTTTCTTGACCTGTCCAGCTGGCCAGTTTACACTCTTCCTTCAAATCCCTGCAAGTATTTCTCCTGTAAATCCCCCAGCAGAGGCAAATGTAAGTATGCTTTCTCTAGATTGCCACTGTTCCCACTCTGAACCTCAATCACGCAGGGCTGCTGCTAAAGTAGATTGCAGCCATCTGTTTACACATATCTATTTTCCCTCAAGACTGATAGCTGCTCAAGGACAGAAATAATAGTGTCGATACAATTTTGTGCATGGAAAAACCCCCACAATTTTCTGTATTAGAACAAATTTTATTGTGGCAAAATGTATGTATCATTAACAATTACCATCTTAACCATTTTAATTGCACAGTTCAGTGTTGTGCTTCTGATCTCCCGAACTCTTTTAGTTGATATATGTATTTTTTAAAAGATTTATTTATTTATTTATTTATTTATTTATACAGGAACCGGGGTACAGGCCAGAGGCGCAGGAGGGTGAGAGGGTTCACTAGAGACAGAGCGGGGAACAGAACAGACAGAATGATGAAATATACTGCTGAAGGGAGTAGTGGGCGCGACAGGAGAGGTCTGCCGCCGCGCCATGTGGGACCCTCGCCGGCCCGCAGGGATCAAACTGGCACTGAGAGGCTGCAGACAGCTTCACAGCACTGCACTTAACCACCTGTGCCACCAAGGGAGGCCCCTAGTTGATATATATATATATATTTTTTTGAAAATAGGTTTTATGATATGGATTCTGATAAATAGGGCTCTGATAGATGTTTAACAACCAGCTGTCTGGGAGAAAAAATGGGAGTGAGAGGGAGATCAAGAAGCCAAGCCCTGATTTGAAGTGTTTGCCAATGTCCATGTTGTGAATGCTCCTGCGGTAGCTGATTTTAATTTACCAAACTGGTGCTGGATGTGGCAATGACAAGAGACACCCAGCTGCCTAGTTGATATATTTTTAACTCCACTTCTTATGATTATCAAAGATGAATTATGCTAGGTTTTTATTTCTTCTTGTGTGAAATCTTTACACTGATTAAACTTTATGAATTTGAGGCATGTGATAGGTATTAACATCTGAAAATATTCTTTTTAAAACATTAGCTCTTATCTTTATAATTCTTGTTTTGTTAAAGTATACTTTTTATAGAATTAGAATTTTTTTTAAAAAATTTATTTATTTATTTATACAAGCACTGGGTACAGTCAGATGTGCAGGAGGGTGAGAGAATTCACCAGAGCCAGAGCGGGGAGCAGAGCAGGCAGAAGGACCGAAGTACACTGCTGAGGAGGGGAGCAGTGGGCACAGCAGGAGAGGTCTGCATGCCATGTGGGACCCTCGCCAGGGGCCGGGGATCGAACAGGTGCTGCAGAGGCTGCGGGCAGCTTCGCAGCCCAGCGCTCAACCACTGTGCCACCAGGGGAGGCCCCTAGAATTAGAATTTCTGAGCAACTTCTATATACTCTAAGTATTATTTTTTATAGCTGAAGACTGCTTAAACCAGGGTACAATTTTAGATAAGAAAAACTAAACATCCATGTCAATTAAAAGTTTTATCAAATTTAAACACTGGGCAAGACTACATTTCAATGTCTAAGACTGAAGAAGTCATGGGTAAGAAAACTATCATAAAAGTAATCAGGAAGCAATTACTGTAACTACCGAGATAATGATTACTTTTGAGGGGTGGGAGAAAGTCATGATTAGATGTACACATGGAGCAAGGGGATTGCTGAGGAAAAAAAATCAAAGTTTTATTGACATGGATGACTGGATGATAGTTATAAAGGGTGTATAATAACCAATGTACATATACATTTCCTGTAGTAATCTACTGGTTTCTGTATTTATATTTTACTTCACAATAAAAAGGTTAAAAGAAAAAGGACTGGATTAATTTCATTCTTTTTTTAATTTGAAAAGATCAAATTTTCTTATATTAAAGAGAATACACAGGGGCCACCCTGGTGGTGCAAGGGGTTAAGACAGACCACTATGAAGCTATCTGCAGCCACTGCAGTGCCAGCAGTATATTTCAGTAGATCTGCCTGTTCAGCTTCCCACTCTGTCTCTGGTGAATCCCCTTACCCACCGCATCTCTGGCCTGTACCCCAGTTCTTGTATGCATAAATAAATAAATCTTAAAAAAAAATAAAGAGAATACACAAATGATGGAAAATCACACCATTACAAAATTAAGACAAATATTCATCGAAAAAATGGAAAATAATATTCCCAGTATTTTCATGATTTAAAAATATGTATTCTATATTAACTAAGGTAATTTTTACAATATGGAAAATAAGAAAAAAAAGGCTAAGTATTTAGATCAACAAATTAAAAGAAAACATTCACTGTTACAGTAAATGAAGAATTCATATGCAATCTTAAAATTAAGACTAAGTTTCTTTATAGCAATTACATTTCCCTAAAACAGTCACAGAGTACACTTAAAAATGAATGACAAAATTAAACGGTTTTAAAACATTATGCACAAACATCACAAAAAAGAGCCTGAGAGTTTGGGGGAAAGTACTAACCAGTTACTGCCAGCAGCTGTGAAACTCTCACCTCCATTTCCTCCCGATGAGACCTGTCTCTATCTTCAAATTCGCGGGTCCTTCTCCGAGCCTCTTCAAAGGCCTGTTGTGCTAAAGCATCCTCCTGCTGTGAGAAGAATACATGAAATGGGTATTTAAATTTTTTTTTCCCCAAAGTGTGTAAGCATTCTTTTTTTTTTTTTTAAAGATTTATTTATTTATTTATATAAGCACTGGGTACAGTCAGAAGCACAGGAGGGTGAGAGAATTCACCAGAGCCAGAGCGGGGAACAGAACAGGCAGAAGGACCGAAGTACACTGCTGAGGGGAGCAGCGGGCAGCAGGAGAGGTCTGCCGTGCCATGTGGGACCCTCGCCCTGTGGCCAGGGATCAAACGGGCGCTGCAGAGGCTGCAGGCAGCTTCGCAACCCAGGCTCAACCGCTGCGCCACAGGGGAGGCCCGGTATTTAAATTTTTTTCAGAGATCTCTGGCCCCAAACCCACAGGTGCCTACCGTGTCCTCAGGTCATAGGGAAAGGGTTCCCCCAGCTCAGGCTCCTTTTCACTGCTTGTCATGAAGGAGGCGTCTCCGGGTGGAACAGGCTAGCGCTTCAGGCACTTTAACCCAAGCACCTTTTCCTCTGGCCTCCCTTTTTTACATATTATTTTCTCTCATACATTTCAGGAAGCTCTCTCAGTTCTTAGAGCACTGAATATGTTCAATGTAAACATTAATTCTTTTGGCAAGAATCTTGTCCTTTACTTGTTGATAACAATGCCAACTGCATGCTGGGTAATTACAGATTCTTCCTGTTTTGCCATAACATTTGTAGGGCATTCCGTTTGAATAGTGCTCATTCCCTTCCGGTCTACAACACATAACCTTTCTTACAGATTTACATGTATGTGGCCAAAGAAATAACTGCACGGTTTCTAAACGGCCTTGGGAACCATAGAGGGCGTCGTTCCCCTTATCCGTTGTGTTGGTCATTTTCTGGTGATTTATTACAAGATAGAAGTTCTGGTCAAAAGGAAGGCAATCTTTAAATTTTGATTTACTATAAGGAATTTAATTTGGTGATTTTATATTCTGAAGGAAATGAACAGCACAGTATTTCTCAACACATCAAAATAAAATAAAATTCAATACCAACCACTCAAAAAAAAAAAAAAAACCACCCTCTGTGTTTTAATATCACACCTTCTTGGAAACAGTAATTGTGTCCAATCATATTCTAACAACTAAAAAGGTTCTTCCCTTTTCCTATCTCACCCTAAATTAGTATTTAAACCAAAAAAGTACAAAAAAAAAATTGGCATATACTTCTATAATTTGAAGATAAAAGTCAGGTTCTCTACTTATGACACTGAAGTCATAAATAGAAGTAACAGAACTCACTATACAAATGTTAGAAATTCTAGATAACAAAAGGTAAATACTACTCCAAGGGATATTATCAAGAACAAACATTTGTAACACGTAAGAAATCAATCTTAATCCTTTCCTAATTAATAGCTAAACAGCTCAACAAGAGGGAAACCCCAATATCTAAAACTCGCAGAACTGTCTCCTTCATTTCCCTCGCCTTGGCAGGCGCCCACTCATTAATTTCTGCCAGAAGCTGGAGCCACCTGCATTCTTCCCTCTTCCCTTTCTCCACCAAAACAACCAGCCACCATCCATTCGACTTCCTAAGTATTTCCTAATCTTTAGTTTCCTACAAACACCATCCTAGTTAAGGCTCCTCAGATCTCCTAGATTACTGCAAACATCTCCTAATCAGTTTCCCTCTGCTTCTGTCACCCCCCAATATACCACCCAGCTGACAGAACATGCTTTCTGAAGCAAAGTATGACCATAATATCCCCAGCTAAGAAAATCTACTTCACTGTCTACAGCAGACTTACTCAACCTTTGTAAGTAACACACTTCTGAATACTAGGATTTTTTGATGGTACATGTAAGAAATTAAAAGATCAAAAACAACACCAAAGTCACCTACATTCACTGCAGCAAGGGGTGGCCTGGTAGTTCAGTTCTAGCTAATGAAACTGGAGGCGTGAGTCACCTAACAGGGCTCCTAAGAAAGTTGTTTAAGAGATCTTTCACCTTTCCTCCTTCCTGGGAAATAATACAGTGCCCAGAGGTACGACAACCATTTTCCAAACATAATAATGAGGATATAGCCAGACAAAGAGCACTGTAGAGAAAGACAGAAAGATCCAAGGCCCCAATTACTATAATTAAGTGCTATACCAAGCCTAGACTATATACTGCTTGGATATCTTGTTCTTTGTGATAAATCCTTTGTTGCTGTTAATAGGGTTTTTTTTTTTTTAAGATTTATTTATTTATGTATACAAGAATTGGAGTACAGGTCTCTTTGGTGAGAGGAATCACCAGAGACAGAGTGGGGAGCAGAACAGACGAACTGACTGAAATACACTGCTGAGGGGAGCAGCGGGCAAGACAGGAGAGGTCTGCTGCGCCATGTGGGTAGCTCCCTGGCCAGCAGGGAATTGAACCAGCGCTGTAGAGGCTGTGGGCAGCTTCACAGTGCTGCGCTCAACCTGCTGCGCCACCAGGGAGGCCCTTAATAGGGCCTTTAATACTTGAAATTTTCACTGACACAATGTCTATAACAAAACAAGACAGTGTGATCAAATTTCCATCGTCATGATGCATTCACTAGCTTTATGATAGAGAGCAAGCCTTTTCATTTCTCCGAGTATCAGTAAATACACACATATGAGCAGAGTAGGAATACTTCACCAAACTGTTGTAAAGATGAGAAAAAATCTAAAGTGCTTAAGCATACCCTCTGACAGTACTCATTAAGTGCTAGTTCCTATTTTACAAGCACTTATATAAAGTACGTACATTCAACTAAACATCATTACACATACCTACTGTATTCTCAGAATGTACAGTAAGTTCTCAATGTTGTTGACAGCTTCTTGGAAACTGGCACTTCAAACAAAATGACTGTAAGGAAAGCAGGTCCTTGAATTCATCAGCTGGGATATTTTATTGTCATCAACATTATAAAGAAACATTGAACAAAATAGTGTTATTCAAGGACCTTCTGTACTATATAAGCCAGGGGGCATCTACAAAAGAATGCCGCATCCCCAACTTGCAAAGGGTTTTTATTACTTAGTTAGGTCCCAACTGGGATCCATCTGCTGATAACAGGATACACTTTCCATCCTGTGTATTTATTAGACACTTTTCATTTATTCCACAAATATTTAGTGAGTTTTTATACTAGGTGCTCTGGATACAACGTGAGGAAACAAATAGTACTTTTCCTCATAATTCCTGGTAGAGAGGGGCAGGTGGACAATGAACATATAATTACTCAAATCAATATATAATTGTCAACTATGATTAAATACAGCAGAGAAAATTACATGATGAAATGAGAGCATGTGACATGAGATCTAATTCCCTGAGGAAGTTATTAACCACTAATCTGTGTTGCAGCAACAGTCATAGATTTTTATTTCATTATAAGAAAAAGAGGATTATTATGACAATTATAGTAAAATAAGTCTAGAGAGATTTGGTAGTCCTCCACTTTCTAATTCCAGCTTCTCCCTTGCTCTTTTTCAGTGAAATGTGAAATATACACAGTAACAGAGACTGCATGTTAATAGGTGGTTAAAACCTTTGATACCCTGCTTCTTCCCTATGGCAACTTTAAGTTAACACCTCCCTTTCAAGGACAGCATAAAGGACACTTGCTGATCAGATGATGTGTGACACAGATCACACATGCTCCAACATGGAGCAACGAGCTCTTTGCCTCAGGTGGTAGTCAGGCTGTGAATATTTTGGTCCCCCTAGTACTTCATGGTCTATACCAGATTCTGCACAAAGTAGCTAGGCAGGGGGCTTCCCTGGGGGCGCAAGGGGTTAAGAGGCAGCACTATGAAGCTATGAAGCACACTGCAGCACGAGTTCAATCCCTGGCCAGGGATGTGATCCACATGGCACAGCAGACCTCTCCTGTCTTACCCGCTGCTCCCCTCAGCATTGTATTTCAGTATATCTGCCTGTTCTGTTCCCCACTCTGTCTTTGGTGAATCCTCTCACCCGCCACATCTCTGGCCTGCACCCCAGCTCTTAAATGCATAAATAAATCTTAAAAAAAAAAAAAAAAAAAGTAGCTAGGCAGTTGATCATAAAAGGTGACAAAAATTATGTGAAACTCACTAGGGAAACAAAGGCCTAAGAGTCTTGTCATGGAGCAAACACTACATATTCTGACTATTTTTGTTACAGTAATTTTGTCTATATTGAACTACTTAAATCTAGTTATCTTTATAGCTTGATAATACTTACCTTATGAAGCAATCAATTTAACAAATGGAGGTGTATGTTTAATGAAAAACTAAGAATCAAATTTGTTTCCAAGAAAGTTGATGAGGGAAGTGTTATTTGCATATGTACTATTCTCTGGCAGAATGATATCACTGATCACATGAAAACCAGAAGAAATAAATCTGCTGAAGAAGCAACGACATAACTTCAAAGGCAACAATTTAACATTTGCAGCTGCAAATGGTACTTTTACCATCATTCTGTAGAATATAACTTCATTTAAATGACTCTTCTAAATCAATGTCACTCACATTATCAAGCACAAACAAAGCGCAAAGCTGTTTATATGTTGGCTTCATGAGAAAAACCTTGCAAACAGTTTTTGCAAACAATCCTTGAAAACAAGATACCAGTTTTCCATCAGTGTTAAGAGGTACTTCAAATAGAAAATTTATTTCAATAATGATTCAATTTTTCTAACCTGATCATAGAATAAAAATGTTTGAAAGCTCATTAAGCTAAAGGTTAAACATTTTTCTGTGATTGCCAAAATTAATTTAAAAGTACAACAGTAAGGAAGCCTCTCTGGTGTGCAGGGGTTAAAGTCTCAGTGCTCTCAAGGTATCACCAGCCACCACACCAATCCCTGATCAAATCTCTGGCCAAGGAGGTGACCCACATGGCGTAGCAGACCTCTCCTGTCTTGCCTGCTGCTCCCCTCAGCAGTGTATTTCAGTTGATCTGCCTTGTTCTGCTCCCCACTCTGTCTCTGGTGAATCCTCCTCTCACCCCTCCATACCTCTGGCCTGCACCCCAGTTCTTATATGCATAAATAAAGATAAATCTTAAAAAGAATTATTTAAAAAAATGTACAACAGTAAGACAAAATTGTTGGTTCTTACTTCAGTATTTACATTATGTAAAACCAGTTATTGCATTAGCTTAACTATTACAAAAGAGGACGCCTTTTTTGTATTGATAAAGTTCAATTTGTGTGTGGACCAGGGCAAGCAGCTTGGAAAATTCTAAGTATCAAAAATGCTGTGGCTTAAACTTAATTTTTTATTATTTTAAAGATTTATTTATTTATGCATACAAGAACTGGGGTACAGGCCAGAGGTATGGGGGGTGAGAGGATTCTCCAGAGACAGAATGGGGAGCAGAGGGTGAGACAGGAGAGGTCTGCCGCGCCATGTGGGTCACCTTCCTGGCTGCAGATTGAATGTGTGCTGCAGAGGCTGTGGACAGCTTCATAGTGCTGCGTCCTAACCCCTTGTGCCACCAGGGAGGCCTTTTACCTATCATTTTTTTTTTTTTTTTTTTTAAGATTTATTTTATTTATTTATACAAGCACTGGGTACAGTCAGAAGCGCGGGAGGGTGAGAGAATTCACCAGAGCCAGAGCTGGGAGCAGAGCAGGCAGAAGGACCGAAGTACACTGCTGAGGGGAGCAGCGGGCGGCAGGAGAGGTCTGCGCGCCATGTGGGACCCTCCTCCGGTGGCCGGGGAGCAGCCGGGGATCGAACCGGCGCTGCAGAGGCAGCGGGCAGCTTCGCAACCCAGCGCTCAACCGCTGCGCCACCGGGGAGGCCCTTTACCTATCATTTTAATAAAACATTCAGTTTTAGAAGTCAACTCCATATGAAAATTTTCCCTTATATATATTCAGTCTGCTGAATCACTTCTTATAGAAAACAGTCTTTCAAATTGCTCATTTTTGACTACTTTTCTGAAAGAGTTAGGGGGCTCCTTATCTCTATGGAAATAAAAGTATGTTTTAAAAAGATGCTTTTTAAGAATTTAAATTCTGAATCTGCACTATTTAGTGATAAGGTTTTCTTTCTTTTTTCAAATCTCTTAATATTATTAAGAAAATTTTCACATTTCCAAGGATGGAGAACAACATAGTAGGAGACAATAGAATAACAAAGAGGTTAATTCTGTAGCATCTCTTTCCCAAAGTTTGCTGCTTCTGATACCACTGCTTAAATTTTTTTTTCTTTTTAAGTCTTGCTTTCCAGAGGTTTCCTCCTGGGTCAGCATAACTTAGTGGTCAGCCATGATGGTCAGAGGTTTTGCTTAAACACCTCAAGCTAGTAGGCTTCCGTCTTTTGCCACCGAATCTGTATGCAGCTTTGGGGAATATGTTCAAAGTGCAGGAAGTTTCTTAGTTTACCCTGGTTTCAGCCAGGGACTTGTAGTTTAAAAGGGCCCTCTTTGTTTGCTCCTGAACAGGTGTAGCCTAGCACATGCACATAGTCTTCTGGACCATGAGGGGTTAAGTGTGATGTCAGTAAGATCAACTTTAGCTATCTCTTTCCCCAGGGCTGCCTGATAAAATTTTTGGATAGTTTGCCATTTTATTGCTTCCTTCAACATCAGCCTCTCATAAGTTGTTTGCACAGAGAATTCTACTGTGTCTAATACATGGGCATGGAATTAATCAAGTCAACGCCCTCCAATAGGACAGCAGAGTTGCTAGTCCTCAGGGTTTGCTTGCTAAGGGTATAACTTGAGGGACTACAAAGCAGAGGGAAGGGATGAGAGTAACCCCTTGTTAAAATGCCACAGACTATTACCGTACTTACTGAAGTGCCACATTTGTTTGAATAAATGCCCCTCAATTTATGTCCTGTTGTTAATTTCCAGAGCTCTTTACTGGGTATTTGAAAAGTAATTTTGTCCAGTTTAATCACTGCTTTCTACGGAGAGGACTTGCCAAGCTCCTCACTTAGCCATGCCACAAATGCTGGTTCTACACTTTACCTTGAACTGTTTTTTTCCCTCATAATGTTCTGAAGATCAAGTACAAGTATTAAACAGAACCATTTACAAGAATTTGAAGTTCCCCCACCAAGCAGAGAGGGGTATCCCAACAAAATTCAGAATCAATGAAGGAAAAACTTTCTTAATATCATGATCAGATTTGGGCCTCATGTTCAGGATTCCTCCCATTACTTGAACGTGAGACCATCTATACTTATTTATTTAAAAAGATTTATTTATTTATACAAGAACCAGGGTACAGGCCAGATACACAGGAGGGTGAGAGGATTCACCAGAGACAGAGTGGGGAACAGAACAGGCAGACTGGCGAAATACACTGCTGAAGGGAGCAGTGGGCGAGACAGGAGAGGTCTGCTCGCCATGTGGGTTGCTCTGAGGCCGGTGGGGATCAAACCGGTGCTGCAGAGGCTGCAGACAGCTTCACAGCACTGCGCTCAACCACCTGCGCCACCAGGGAGGCCCCAAGAGACCATCTATACTTTTTAAGAATGGGTAAGATAGACCCCCAGACAAAGGGGAGATAAAGGGACCATGTTCAGCAAAGCTTGATGTCACCTACCTGGGCTCTCTCCTCATCAAACTCCAGGCAGCCCATTCCATCCAGCCTCTGGAGATCAATCCAGCCTTTCCAGATAACACAGACTCCATTCAGAATCATGGGAGCCTTCAAATACACCTAGGATACAGAAAAGAAGGATGAAACCAATGATAAGTCATCACACACAAAAAACAAAGGATAAACTTACTTATGAAAATTGCAGCTTTCTTAGGAAAAAAGATGAATATAATTATAAAATTAAGGATTAAGGAAAGCATATAAACCACAGCCTTCAACAAAATTCTATTAAGCGAAGTAACTGGGTTTGTGAGGATTTTATTTCTAGTCACCATTCTTTTTCAAGTAAATAAAAACCCATAGAACAAGAGTCTCCTTACTATGATTTCCAAATTCAGATAGTTTATTTTCAATCACCAAATTAATGCTCATATTGACTGAAAATGTAATTGCTCTCAAGAGCAATTAAAACTTCATCAAGAAAGGAAAAGTGCTAATGCTATCATCCTGAGGTGAATATTATGATACAAAAAGAAATGTAAATTTTATTACAATTCTTACAATCTCTTCTACCTTAACATCACACTGGTTTAATACTTTTGAAACACAACATTTTTCAGGTCTTCGTTACCTAATTTAACATGGATTTCCTGAACAAACATGTACATAGATTTTATCTTGCTGCCTTAACAAATATTTTTGAAAATGCAGAGGAAGCAGGACTTCAATGAGCTTTCAAAACTTCAGGTTATCAAATACAACCCTTATAAGAGCCTCACATACTCACAGCTAATTTACTTTTTTGATAATCCCAGTGCTTCCTTGAGCTAAAATTAGGATTGTTTGTTACACATAATTCTATAAAAATTGGTAAGACAGTTTTTCTTATTTATTTAATAGTTTTATTTTTCAAAAGTTGGTTGGACCTGGTTAGGAGTCTGTTCTTTACCCATTCAGCAGTTTCTTCAACAAAGAATTTTGGGACATTATTATTTTTAGAGGCTTAGTAAGAATAATTGTTAATAATTATAAATAAGGTAGAAACATTACCACTGAGTCACCTATATGAGAATACCTATGGATTTATGCCTTTTTGGTACAGATTTGTGTCACCTCCCACTTCATTACCTAACACAACCATTATTCCTGTTAAGGTTCTAATAAGCCATGTTGAACCAATTTCTACTTACACTGGAAAAAAAAAAACCCCGAAAACTAAGGTTCCATTTCTCCTCCTATTTGGACCAAGGGAAATAGTCTACAGTTATAGCTGAAACCGTTTAACCACACATTTCCTTCTGGTCTGATAAGTGCTCATTCCCTTCCACACTATAAATTTGAAACCCCACTGATGTGCACCCACTCAAACAAGTGATTATGACAAGTTCATATTCAACACCTCACGAAATCTAAAAACAATACCCCCTTCACAGCCTATCAGTATAACTTGATTTGCTACATCTTCTAATCAAAATGTATACCTGCTCTTTATAATGGGGCAGGTGGTATCACAGTGAGAAGTAACACATTTCACCTATTAATGCATCTCATTATTTTAAATTCTCATCTAATCATGGTCCTCCCTGGTGGCGCAGTGGGTTGAGTGCAGTGCTGTGAAGCTGTCCAGCTGTCCGCAGCCTCAGCAGTGCAGGTTCGATTCCCGGCCAGCCAGGGAGCTACCCACATGGTGCAGCAGACTTCTCCTGTCACACCCGCTGCTCCCCTCAGCAATGTATTTCAGTCTGCCTGTTCTGCTCCCCACTCTGTCTCTGGTGAATCCTCTTACCCTCCTGCGCTTCTGGCCTGTACCCCAGCTATTGTATAAATAAAAAATAAATCTTAAAAAACAAATTCTCATCTAATCATGAAGAGAATTCTTCTTACCTAATAAAGACCAACTTGACCATCAATGATTTATGTTTATTAGAAGCAAAGGTTCCATAATCTGGGTTTTCATATTAACCTCCACAGTCCAAATATTTTTCTCATGAACTTTAAAAAATCCATTTATTACTTTTTTATAAAAGTTCTCTCATGACAAAGAAAACCACTGCTCTATTTGGGCAATTCCTAAATAGGTTCAGAAAATGGCTACAATTCTTAGTCAAGGCCTGTGCATGTAACCATAATTTAAAATAGTATTTAGATTGTCCCACTGATTTATTTACATGTTCACATTGAAATAAGTAGTTTTATGTGTAGATCTTCGAAGTCAATGTTTGGCACTTTCATACATTCATAAACACCAAACCTCAAAGGATGAAGAAAATAAAATTCTGTCTCTTAATAGTTTGACATTTTGTAATGTAATTCAATAAAGTTATTTAAACACTAAGACTTTTTCAATGAAAATAATGATGCCTTATTTCAAATTGTGAAAAGAAAACATATTGGAATATGATCTAGGGATTAAACCCATCATCCTACAACAATTAAATATTTTATACAAAATGGACTCTATAAAGCCTTTAAAATGGGTGACTAGATTAAACCAAACAAACCACCAACAAAATAACCTGCTCATCTTTCCATAAGTAAAATATCAGAGACTGTGTTTAAGATTCACAGAAAGTTAAAAGTGACTATAGCCTTATATTTTGTTGTGGTAATGCTATACAATTTTTAATGAACCCAAGTTCTAAATATCTACATTGGTGATGTTACAGTCAGTCTAAAAGATATATGCTATCACTATCATCTTCATATTCTGTAGCTTTACATTCCATCACTATAGCAGTAAAGTTTCAGCAAAAACATGTATGTACCATCAACTGTGGCAATATCCATATAATGGAATATATGCAACCATAAATAATAAAAGTATTGATACAAGCTACAAGACAATTGAAACTTTAAAACATAGTAAATGAAAGAAACCAAAAAGGTCTCATATTATGATTCTATTTACAGGAAATGTCCCCAATAAGGCAAATACAGTGAGATAGACCATTTGGTTGCCAGGGTCTTAGGGAAAGAAAGAATGAGAAGTGATTACAAATAGGTACAGGATTTTTTGAGGGGTGATAAAAATGCTTTGTAATTAGAGAATGGCGATGGTTATACAACTTTGTGAATATACTAAAGAAAATCCTGTGTACATTCTAAAAGGACAAACTTTACAATGTGAATTTTATCTCCATAAAGCTACTATAAAACAGTATTTGTAATAATTTTTGTTACATAAGTGACATCTATGATATGTAAACAGATTTTTGATTAGCAATTGTAAATGGTATTCCAGAGTGCTGAGGAGTGATAAGGACTGCTGATACAAATCTGGCATCCAGGGAGGAGAGATTGCTAAGGGCTATGTTATGGAAATCTTAGGTCACCCACAACTTTTAACGATGCTTTTATTTACAGCAAGAGTTCTTCGTATGGAGGTTCAGAGAACCTACAGGAGAGCTCAGGTTTATGGATAAGTTTCAAGAAGACCAGAAGCCTGCTGAAATGTGGTGTAAAATGTGTCTCTGTAACCATCTACACTTTTCTAGGGAAGTCACTGCTTTCACCAGTTTCTCAAAAGGGTGTGTAAGTCAAAAAGGATTTAGCTATGACAGTAAAAGCATCATCCTTCCCTTCCTGTCACAAACACCAAGGTCTTTTTAGCACAGAGTCTGTGAGAGCTTCATTTAGTGAATGGATCAAACTTAAGTAGCTAAAAAGGTAGTTACTGGTATTTTGAAATGTTTCAGAGGAAAGATATGCGAGAACCTAGTCAACTTCTAATTCATCAGCCTGTACAAAATATTTCCATCTCGGAGAGTTTGGAGTTTACATATTCTGACAGTATCTAAATCTGGAATAAACAGTGGCATCATCTAGTGCCCTTTCCTCTGTAATACTCTGTATTTATAGAAGATCAGGCTTATGCAGCAGGGCTGTGGCAGTCACAGACAACTTAATGGGAAAAACAAAAACTCTAAAAATGCAACCAATAAATATGGTTAAACTGGCTAAGCACTTGGGGGGAAATACGAGTTTAGAACAAAATAAATATACTTGATCTTAGCCAAAGGCCTAGAAGCGACAGAACAAAATAAATATAAATGGCCAAAAATTATGAAAAATTACACATTACTAATCAAATATATTAAGATAACTATAAACAAATATAAAAATTAAAAAACTTTAATAATGTCTAGGAGGAGGAAAACCAGGTTCAACAGTTTCAGGAGTATCAGGAATATAAAATGGGTAGCAATTCTAGAAAGACATTTTTTGCCATTAAGTGAATTTTCCTTTGGCCCAGCAATGCCATACCTAGGGAAATGTACTAAAACTTAAAGATGTGCACAAAATATTTGATTACAACAGAAGTTTACTTGAGGATTTTTTAGCAATAGTAAAAGACTGGAAATAACCTAGATATTCAATATCTTATAACTATGAGAGGTTAACTACTCAAACAATATGTATTAAATAAGGCGTCTATAAACAAAAACAGACATAACACAAGATCAAGTACTGACTAGCTGAGGAATATGTGACCAGAAGCTGTAGGAACCTAACGTATTTTCCTGAAAGCAATTATTTAGTATTCACTAATTCAGTACTTACATCAACTTTACATAAGAGGATTACCATAAATGATAAGAATTAGCTGTAATTATTTTTAAAGGAAAAAGAGTATTATTGCTATGCTTAATCCTAAGATCTCATAGGAAGAAAGAAAACAAAATGTACTTTGGAATCAGATAAAACCTGGGTTTAAATTCTGTGTGACGAGTTCGATCCCTGGCAGCCAGGGAGCTACTCACATGGCACAGCAGACCTCTCCTGTTGCGCCAACTGCTCCCCTCAGCAGTGTATTTCAGTCAATCTGTCTGTTCTGTTCCCCACTCTGTCTCTGGTGAATCCTCTCATCCTCCGCATCTCTGGACTGTACCCCACTTCTTGTATGCATAAATAAATAAATCTTAAAAAAAAATTCTGTGTGAGTCTGAGACAAATTATTAAGTTTGCTAGTAAGTCTCAGATTCCTCAACATACGAAGCCAGGGCTAAATAATGCCATTTCATAGGCTACAGGAAAAATTAGTTAAATCAATGTTTGAAAAATTTATGAAACATATAGAGCATCACAGAAACTTGACTGCTTACACACACATTTCTACTAAT